TCGGGGGTGCTGGCGGGCTGCGGGTTGGGAGTGGGGGGCATGGGGCATTCGGGGGGTGCGGGTCGGGGGTGCTGGCGGGCTGCGGGTCAGGAGTGGGGGGCACGGGGCACTCGGGGGGGGTCGGGGGTGCTGGCGGGCTGCGGGTTGGGAGTGGGGGGCATGGGGCACTCGGGGGGTGCTGGGGGGCTGCGGGTCAGGAGTGGGGGGCCTGGGGAACTCAGGGGAGCAAGGGGCACTCGGGGGGCCCTGCTGTCTGACCCTGTCCCCCCAGGTGTTTTACTGGCGGCTGGGCAGTGTGGGGGAGCGGAGCCGGCGCCAGGCCCGGACCCAGCCGCCCCCGCTGGTGCTGACGGTGGCAGGGGAGGTGTCGCAGGCCAGGCTGGGGGGGCTGCGCCCCTGGAGCTGGTACCGCCTCTACATGGTTGTGTTTAACGGGCGCAGCGACGGGCCCCACAGCGAGGACATTGACTTCAACACCCCCGAGGGAGGTGAGACCCCCCTGAACCCCCAAACCCCACTGTGACCCCCAGCTCCCCTGACGCTCCAGAGCCCCACACACCCCTCAACAGCTCCCAGCCCCCAAGGACGGTGTCACGGGGTGGGGGGGGCCTGGCCCCTGTCGGGTGGGGGAGTTGGGGCCTGCACCCCACTTCCTGCGAGTCCCCGCGAAGGGTTATTCGCCACCGGGGACACGGGGGAGCCAGAGCTCGTAGGGACAGAGACCAGGACCCCTCAGCCGGGTCCATCCTGGGGGTGGGGAGCCCAGACCCTGGTTCTGGGCCCCCCCCCCGTCTCCCCAGCCAGCTCCAATCTGACCCCAGCCCCTCCTCCAGCCCCCCCGGCCCCTCCTCCGGCCTTTGTCCAGTGTCCCGGCGTGACGGTGCTGCCCGTGGGAGCCGGCTGAGGTCACTGACTCAGGGTGAACTGCAAACCAAACGGGGCAAACAAACCCCAAACGCTGGTGGATATTCCAGTACTTAGATTTACCAACCAGCCCAAAACAGCTCCTGTAGGACCTCCCTGGTTCCTCAGACGTCCAAACAACGCAGTTCCCTTAAAGTGCCCAGCCTCCGGCCTCTGTCCAGACACACACGTCAGATACGATGATGATTCCTGAACATCTGATTTCATATAAAAGAAAAGGTTCTTCCAATCCCAAAGGATCAGCCACACACCCAGGTCCAACGATAACTTACATCAGGGGGAGGCAACCTGTGGCCCGGGTGCCGAAGGCGGCATGCGAGCGGATTTTCAGTGGCATTCACACTGCCCGGGTCCTGGCCACCGATCTGGGGGGCTCTGCATTTTAATTTAATTTTAAATGAAGCCGCTTAAACATTTTAAAAACCTTATTTACTTGACATACAACAATAGTTTAGTTCTATATAATAGACTTATAGACCGAGCCCTTCTAAAAACGTTAACGTGTATGACTGGCTCGTGAAACCTTGAACCCGAGTGAGTAAATGCAGACTCGGCCCAGCACTTCGGAAAGGCGGCCGAGCCCTGACTTAGCTCTTACCCACAATACACGCGTAGAGCCAATCCTTATTAACTAAGCTAAAATGTATTTAAAAAGGAGAGAGAGTTGGTTCAAAGATCAATAAACAGACAGACTTGAGTTCAATTCTTGAGGTTCAGGTACAGAGCAGAGATGAGCGTGTAGTTGCCAAAAGTCCTTTTAGAAACAGTCCAGAGGTTACAGTCCAATGTCCGTGTTCAGGGTGACTCCAGTCAGTGACTGGGGATCTCAATCCTTGTGGCTCCGGGTTTCCCCCTCTTGAAACCCAAAGCAGATCTGAGATGCAGCAGGATCGTGTCCCAGGGTTTTTATACATTTCCTGCAGCCTTTCGGCCTGAGAAAACAATCGGCTTAACTCTCCTTCCAAACATCCTGGCAATTAGCCCAGGGTCATTTATCCATTACACAGTTCAGATCCAGGTTACCCCTGTCACGGAGTATAGGGGGACTCAGGGCCCTGCACCCCCGGCGTCCTGCGATTCACCATGACTCTCAGCCAGCCAGTAAAGCAGAAGGTTTATTTAGACGACAGGAACACAGTCCAAGACAGGTCTTGCAGGCGCAGACAACAGAACCCCCTCAGTTAGGTCCATCTGGGGGTCCCGGGGCACCCTAGCCCCCTTAGGGGATCAGAGCCCTGTCTGCCTTCCAGCCAAGGTCACTAGCCAGCTTCTGAGACTCTGCCTTCAGCGACCCCTCCCCCAGCCTTTGTTCAGTTTCCCGGCCAAAGGTGTCACCTCGCCCCAGCCCCCTCCTGGGTTCTCATGTTACCTGCTCAGGTATTTCCAGTCAGTCTCCCATCCCCCAAGGCCGACCATCCCAGCCACACTCCCCTGTCAGCATTCACAGACCACAGTAAGAACAGTCTCAGTTCGTCACAACCCCAACCTTCAAAGAGACATAGAGACAATAATACGATTTCCCTCAAGTGTCATCACAAATGTTAATATTCTTTTTTTGATCTTTGAATCAAAGCTCTAGCAATAGACGACTTGTTTGCTCACATCACAAGCCCTGAGCAAACCGCTCCCCTTCTCTCTCTCACAATGCCGCTGCATTTCAGAGCTCTGTTCATTCACCGATCTTCCTAACCAGTCGCTACAGTTCGGCCCTGGGGCCGGTCAGTCTGGGAGGTAACTAACTCTTCCTGGCCCTGTCACCTTCCCCTGAGAGATTCAATTACACTCATAACATCACACCCGGGCAGAAGGGGTCACCTGGCCCCAGCCCCCTCCCGGCTCAGGCGTCGCCCCTCAAGTGAAGTGACCCCGAGATCCCCCCCCCCCCCCCCCGCCGCCGCGAGTGCCCCCCACCCCCCCCCCCCCCCCCCCCCCCCCCCTGTGCCCCCCCCTGCCCAGCCCCCCCGGCTCTCACCCTCTCTCTGCCCCCCCAGTGCCCAGCCCCCCCGGCTCTCACCCTCTCTCTGCCCCCCAGTGCCCAGCCCCCCAGGCTCGCTGCTCCTGGAGCGGGTGTCAGACACGGTGCTGGCTCTGGAGTGGACGCCCCCCCCAGTTCCCCAATGGGGCACTGACTGAGTACCTGCTGCAGTACCAGCAGGGTGAGTCCGGGGGGTGCTGGGGTGGGGACAGGAGGTGGGGGGCACAAAGGGTGCAACAGGGGAAGCTATGGGTGGCGGTGGGGGGCTGGCCAGTGGTCAGGTGCAGGAAGGGGGGAGCTGGGCAGGGGGGTGCAGGGGGGTTGTCTGCGGGGCTGGGGCCGGGAGTGGGGCTGAGCGGGAGGGAGCAGAGTGGGGGGCAGGGGGCAGGAGGGGGGCTGGCTGGGGGACTGCCTGCAGGACGGGGGCGGGAGTGAGGCTGAGCGGGAGGGGGCTGAGGGGGGCAGAGCGGGGGGCAGGGGGCTGGCTGGGGGGCTGGCTGCGGGATGAGGGGGACGGGACGAGGGGCAGACGGGCCGGCTGGGCACTAACCCCCCCTTGCCCCCCCAGTGAACGGGTCGGAGCTGGGCCCCCTGCACGAAATCTCCTTCCCCGTCTCCCAGCTGAACGGGACGCTGGCCCGGCTGGAGCCGCGGGCCCGGTACCGGTTCCACCTGCGGGCGCTGACCCGGGCCGGCCTGGGCGAGCCGCTGGTGCAGGAGGGCAGCACCGTGCCTGAGCCAGGTAAGGGGGTGCGGGGGGGGGGCCCTGCTTCTCCCCCAATCCCCCCTGGGGTGGGGGCCAGAGCCTGCAACCCCCCCTGGCTCCGGCACGTCGTGGGAGTGCCCCAGTCTCTGGTTCTGACCCCCCCGTCTGCTCCCCCCCCAGTGCTCCCCACTTTGGACAACATCAGCATCTCGCTGGTGGGCCCCGATTTCACCATCATCACCTGGGTCCCGGCCCGGCACCAGGCCAGCGTGGAGTTCGAAATCCAGTTCATGAGGAAGACCAGTAAGAGCCTGGGGGGGGGCTGGTTGGGGGGGGCTGGCTGGTGGGGCTGGGCTGAAGGGGCTGGCTGGGGGGGCTGGCTGGCTGGCTGGGGGGATGGGAAGGGGCCACTGGCCCTGGGGGGAGCTGGCTGGCTCTGTGGGGCAGGGAATGGGGTCCGGGGCCCTGGCCCCTGTGGGGGGGCAGCAGCCGTAACCCCCTCTCCCGCTGCCCCCCAGCTCTCGAGCCCTGGCGCACGTCCGGCCAGGCCAACTCCACCCACGGCTCCTACCGGCTCCTCGACCTGCAGCCTGGCACCTCCTACTGCGTCCAGTTCGTGGGGCGCGACCCCTCGGGGGAGAGCGTCGCCTTCTGGGAGAGTGAGGTGCAGACCAACGGCAAGCGTGAGTGAGACCCCTGGGGGGCCTGGTCCCCCGTCCCCATCCCCCCACCCCACGGCTCCCAAGGGGGGCCAGGGGCCCCCATCCCCGTCCTCCCGCCCCACAGCTCCCAAAGGGTCCAGGTTCCCCCATACCTGGACGCCTGCCCCACCTCGCAGGGGCCACATGTCCCAGATCCCCAGGAGCGGGGCTACCCCCCTTGGCCTGGCCCCCTGCCCCACGCCGTGTTCCCACCCATCCCGCCCCCGGCGAGAGGCAGGAAAGCACGGCTGGGGGGGCTGGGAGCCATTCGTCCCACCCGGCCTGAGAGTGCCCGGACCCCATCCCCGCTGGGGAACAATGCAGCAGACGGGGGAAACTGAGGCACGCCCAGGCTTCGTCCCGGAGCCCGGCGAGGGGTCCCTGGGTAACTCCCCCCGTCGCTCTGCCCCCCCAGTGCTGACGACCGACCAGCACAGCTTCGCCACCGAGGGCTGGTTCATCGGCTTCATCTGCGCCGTGGTCCTCCTGCTTCTGCTTCTGGTCATCCTCTGCTTCGTCAAACGCAGCAAGGGCGGGAAGTACTCGGGTGAGGCCCCGCCCCCGGAGCCCTGAGCCCCGCCCCTGGCCCCGCCCCGGAGCCCTCGGCCCCGCCTCCAGCCCCAACTCCACCCCCGGCTCCCCAGCCCTGCCCCCTGCCCCCTAACCCAGCCCCTGGGACTGCCAGCCCCGCTCCCGGAGCCCTGAGCCCCGCCCCTGGTCCCGTCCCCGGAGCCCTCGGTCCCGCCCTGGCCCCGCCCCTGGAGCCCTGAGCCCCGCCCCTGGTCTCTGGCCCCCCAGTTCCCCACTCCACCAGGAGCCCCACCCCCCAGGGAGTGACCCCAGCCATCCTCTGCACTCCAGGGTCCCCGAGCAACCCTGCCCCCCAAAACCCGGTTGTCCCTCGGCTCCTGTCCCCCCCGACTAACTCTCCCCCCCCAGTGAAGGACAAGGAGGATACGCAGGTCGACTCTGAAGCCCGACCCATGAAGGACGAGACGTTCGGGGAGTACAGGTGGGTGGGGGGCAGGGTGGGGGGAGGGGAAGGGGCTGGGTGGGTGGGTTGTGGGGGTAGGAGGGGCAGGGCAGAGGGGTTTCCACCTCACCCCACCCCCTGGAAGTCCCCCCATTGGGGGGAACATGGCGGGGGCCTGGAATTACCCCCTCTATTGTGGGGGGTTTGGGGTTGGATTTAGTGGCTTCTGCTTAACTTCCCCCCCCCCACGCTGCCCCTCCCTTGCTGCCTGGTCTGGGGGGGTCTCTGACTGTCTCTCTCTCCCCCTGCAAAAAAAAATGCTGCCGGGTTTGCTACCACAGATCCCTGGAGAGGTAAGAGGAGATGGGGGGTGCTGGGAGCCCGGACTCCTGGGTTCAATCCTCCATTGCCATGTGCTCCCCAATCACTTGCTCTTCGGCTGGGGGGGCTGCTAACGCCGCCTGCCAAAGTTCAGGGGGTGACACTTAAGGGCCCCCCCCACATGTTTCTGGAGGTGGCGGCAGCTCCCGGGGCACAGGTGTGTCAGAGCGGGTGTGCGGGGCCCTGGGGCAACTGTACATAGAGGTGGGACAAGGGTGTTCGGGGCGATGGTAGCCGGGGATGGTTGTGCACTGGTGATGGCGCGCGGGGGCGATGGTGCATGGAGGTGGTTGTGCGTGGGGCGGGGGTAGCCGGGGATGGTTGTGCACTGGTGATAGTGTTATGCTTACAAGAAGCACACGGGATCTTTTCAGGGAAAAGGCAACATGCCGCATTTATTGAAAACGGTGATGGTTGGGGGCGGTGGTAGCCGGGGGTGATGGTGCGTGGGGTGGTGGTAGCCGGGGTTGGTTGTGCACTGGTGATGGTGCGCGGGGGCGACGGTAGTTGGGAGCGATGGTGCACAGGGGTGATGGTGTGCGGGGACAGTGGTGTGTGTCCATGGCCCAGGTGACCGTGCGACGCCCCCACCATGTCTCACTGGCTCCTTCTGTCTCATCGTTGCCCCCCCGGCAGCTCGTCCATCCTTAGAAATAGGTAACGCCCCCTGGGCCCCTAGTTTGTTCCAGGGGATCCCCCCATTCCCTCTGGGGAGGGAGAAATGCCAGACCCCCACTGCCCCCACACACACTGTGCACTCTCGCACCAGGGCAGGCGTTGGGTCTGCTGCCGGGGGGTGGGTTGCACAGGGGGACAGGGAGGCGGGCGGGTCCTTCTCTTGCACTCACACTGTGGCCTGGTGCGGGAGGCTCTTTCACACCCGCTCACACTCAGCACCCCCCTGACGCGTGTAAACAAGCCCTGCTTGTGCACAGCCCCAGCTGCCCCTTGCATGATCCCCGTGCCTCAGCCCTCACACTACTCCCACCCAGGCCTGTGTGCACCAACACATTGACATGAGGTGTCACATGCCCCCCCCCCCGTGCCACCTGCACACTTGTATCAGGTTGTCGCACGCTCTCCCAGCACATGCTTGTGCACCCGCACACCCACGTCCTCCTGGCCTGGTGCACACTCACCCCCACTGCTGGCCAAGCTCCTTGCACACCCACTTCTGCACACTTTGCACACCCAATTTCCTGCACCTTAGACCCATTCACCTTGCACACCCACCAGTCCCTTCCCCGACACCAGGTGCACACGCCTTGCCCGTGCACCTTGCACACTCACCCATCACTTCCCTGTGCATCTTGCACAATCACTCCTTGCACTTTCATGTGGCTTGCACGCCTGCACCATGATGTTCTCCCTCCGCCTTGCACACTTCCCGCCCTGTGTCTCATGCCCCTTGTGCAGCCCCCCTCACCCTGCTCTCTGCTCCGGCAGCGACAACGAGGAGAAGCCGTTCGGCAGCAGCCAGCCCTCGCTCAACGGGGCGCTGCCGGCGCTGGGCAGCGAGGACAGCCTGGCCGACTACGGGGGCAGCGTCGACGTGCAGTTCAACGAGGACGGGTCCTTCATCGGCCAGTACAGCGGCCACACGGGCAAGGAGCCGGCCGGCAACGACAGCTCGGGGGCCACCAGCCCCACCAATGTCACGGCCACCCTGGAGTAGGGGAGACGCACCCCCCAGCCGGCCAAGCCCCCCTGGGGACTAGGGGAGCCCCTTCCTGCCCCAGGGGAATTGGGGGCTGGGGTTGCCCCCCAGCTGGGAAATAGGGGACCCCCTTCCTGCCCCAGGGGAATTGGGGGTTCATGTACTCCCACCTCCTCCCCCATCCCTGTTAGCTTCCCCCCTCCTGCCTCAGAACATGAGGGGGGTAATTTAAGGGAATCCCTCCTTAGCCCCCCCAGAATGTCCCCCCCTCCCCAAAGCATCATTTATCTTCTGCATGTGATGGGCCAAAAAGCTTGGGGGAGGCAAGGGGTTAATGGGGGGGCTGTACCCAGGGTTAATATTTGCCAAAAAATAGACCCCCGCCCCCCAAGTCTCTCCATGTTTTAATCATTCTGGGCTCAGCCTCTGCCCCACCTCTGGGCGTGAGACCGAGCAGCTGGGGGTGGGGGGCTGGGAGCCTGGACTCCTGGGTTCCATCCCTAGCCCTTTCCCGGCTTCCTTTCAGCTGGGGGGGGGGGGATTGAACATTTCCCCCTAATTCTGCCCCTCCCCCTGCCCTGGGAGGGGGCTGTTCAAACCTCACCTGCGTCCTGGGATTCCCCTGTCCCTCCCTCGCCAATGCTGGGAGGCCCCACCCCCCACAAGCTCCCCCGGGATCATCCCCCTCCACAAATCCACCTCTGCCACCCACCCCCTGGACTCTCTGCGGGGGGGCCGGCGTCACCATTTCACCCCCCTCAAAAGGGAACCGCCCCCCCACTTTCTCACACAGCTGCCTTTGCAACCACATCTCTCAAGCCAAGTGGCCTCTTGTTCGCTCTGTGCCCCACCCCGGATCTCCCCTCCCCCCTGTCGGGGGTCTCAGCTTCGCTCTGTGCCCCCCCCAAACCCCACAACCTTTTTTGCATAAAACAGATTTTAAAAAAACATTTAAAAAATGCCCCAGCCCCGGCTGGGTGGAGGCCTGGCCGGGGTCCCCCCGTGTAGATAGGTGCCCCCCCCCGCTCGCTGGGTCGTTGTGCTAGCCGTGCTCTGGGCCTGCTGTGTGCTGTGGGGTAGTCGTGGCTTCGCGTTCCGTATAAGACAAGAAATGGGGGAACAAAACTTTTTTTAAAAAGTCCCCTCCCGCAATCCCGTCCCTGGGGCCGGCTAAGGCCGCGCTGCCCCCCCCCGTGTCGTCCCCCCTCCCCCTCGTCGGCTGTCACTAGCGTCTCGATCGATGGCTTTTTTATATCTATACTGTACAGACCGAACCGCGTTCGAAACACGGCGGAATAAAAACTGAAAGCTGGCGGCTCCGTGTGGTGTTGGGGGGGGGAGATTTCCTGGGGGGGCGACTATGGGCGCATGGCCCCCACTCTGAAAAGAAACCCAAGAGGTGTTCGATGTACCCAGGGAGCATTTCCACCCACAAATAGAGGGGTGGAATTTTAGGTGTGTTACGGTAATAACCCCCCCCCCCCATGAAGGTGGGATGGGATGGATATTAAGGTAGCAGCCCCTACTGCTCCCCAAAAAAATTGGGGGTGGAACATTATGTGTATTATGGT